GGGATGTACAAGAATAGAAATAGTAGTCCTTTTACCTTTTTTGTGCACAGCAACTGCCTCTCGATGCACCACCTGTAAATAATATAAATTTGTAAATCACTATACCAGGAGAATATATACAAAAATATGTACAATGGTATGAGGAGGCATTATCTTTACCTCTGCTCCTTGCCCTGTCAACCCCAATGGGGGAGGGCTCTTTTATCAGAATCTGTGAATGAAGAACACATTTCATTTAGTCAGAGCTATGACACTACAACAAGATGTTCAAGTATGAAATAACTACACATAAAAATAATAAATACAACAATGATAAAACACATAACTGGCATTTACTAAAGAAACAGTAGGATTTGAGCGTTGTGTTACTTTGCAGATCAGAGCAAGTTTCCGCGCCTTTCCCTCCTCTCAAGTCAGCATATTCTTGGCAATTTAGCAAGTTCTTACCTTCGACTCTTTGTGGAGCTTCTGGAGAGGATGCTCTGCTGGTTTGAGACTGCAACCACTCATCCGATAAATCATGATCAGGTTCTCTGAACGAATCCGAGGCATCAGTAACAACAGCAGCTGATACGCTGCGAGAGGCGGAAGGTGTGTCCCTGCTCCGGGCTCTTGCTCCGCGCAAATGTGGCTGCAGAGACGGACCTCCACCGGGGTCTCCACTCTCTCCCCTCTCGACCTCACTCACTGATCCGCGAGTCAATCTCTGAAGCAGTGTACACTGCTTATAACTATTCTTTTTCGCCATCACTCTTGCTATACTATCGCTAAACTAGATCGCTGATCCGTCTCAATGCTAAGCTATCATCGCTCGCTCTGCTACAGCAGCTCGCTCTCCAAACACTCCCACACTCCTCCTCCTTCTCTCCACTGACTTATGACCTCTCCTGTGGTGCAATACTGCATCCTACTGGTGTTGATTTATCATTACAGGTACATTTGCACTATATATCAGTGTTGTGGGTCATTCACAAGGTGCGCCAGACATTACTGTAGCCTACCGTGTAATAACACGAAAATCTCGTCAAACTCGTCATGGGCAGTGAGCGTTACTATTCAACATGACGAGTTTTGTCGTCATGGGCAGTGAATGAGTTAAAAACTAAAAAAAGGTGTCTCCCTTTCAGCTGAGCAGTGCCAGCCGTTATTATTATAGATTCATGCACTGGCAATTCAAAATACAGATAATATACAAAATATACTTAACAAAATCCACGTATACGTGAGAAAACAACTTACTTTCTGTCTCCAACTCTTTTCAATGTGGAAATGATACATCTATATCTAAAAACTGTGCAGACTGTGTACTTACTAGAGAGGGTGATTCCAAGTAAATAAAGCAGGGCAGTGACAGAGGTACAGATTCAACGTCATATCAACGTCTGGGAAGACATTGCTTTACGTCCAGATGCACACCTTACGTCGTTTAGACGTGGAAAATAGGTCCTCGACCGAGCGACTCACGTGTCAGGCTGTAACCTCGCATAAGTGTGCGTCGTTTGTTTAGGGTGTTATCTATTATTTTTTCCCAGTAGTCAGAAAACATGCATGGCGGTGGTGTAGCGGTTGCGTAATGACAGTTCAGTTGCAACGACGCGGGTTCAAATCCCAGTTGGAATTTTTTTGACTTTTCACTTTTTAGCGAACAATTTCTCTGTTTGGTTAAAAACGAATAAACACTCAACATAAGATTATGTAGTGGCTAATAATAAAACTTGTGAACCCATGCATTTGCATAAAATCTGAAGTGCTCACCCCATAGTTGCAAACTTGAGATTGTTAGCACAACAAATGCATACATTCACAAGTTTTATTATTAGCCACTACGTAATCCTATGTTGAGTGTTTATTAGTCTTTAACCAAACAGAAAAAAATAGTTCGTTAAAAATCAAAACAAATATGTAAAGATAATCTACACACACGTGGGCTCGAACTCTCGTAACCAAGGCTGCACACATTCGCTTAACCACTACACTACCGTCAGGTACACTGAGATCGCTTCACAGCCTATATATTGTATTGCTAGATCAAGACGTACTGCGTCGGTCAGCCGATGACCTGTTTTCGACGTCTAGGGGAGGTCGGGATTGAACGTCATATCCACGTATATGGGAGGTCATTGTTTTACGTCCAGATGCGCACCTTGCACAGACGTCGTTTAGACGTAAATAAAAGGTCACGACCGACCGACGCGATATTGACGTGATCTGGAGGTTGAGTGGACGTCGGATGTTTAGTGGGTTATCTCTCAACAACCACAGCTTTTATTTTCCTAAATTAACTGAATTGTGGGTTTACTTATATCATCAAAGGGAGTTATCTGGCTTGTCAGGAGGGCACCTGAAAATCTTTCCGGTAACTATGGTAACAGTCAAAAGTTAGATTTCTTGTCCTAGTTTAGTGCTAGATTCTCTGTCATTCCTGAGCCAAATCCCCATGAAACAAAAACCGTCTGAAAGTTCTACATCTTATCACTATGGATCAGAGGTGGTGACAATATTAACATACACAAGCCTTCTCATTCTCCAGGTCTATATATATATAATATACATATACTAGACCTGTATATATATATAAATCTATATATATAGATAATGACACAAATATATAATATAAAGAATTTTAAGGGGAAAATATACTATATAATTTAATGTTTTGTTCAATTTACCTTAATAATGTAAGTAGTTCATGTAAATATGGTGATGTATATGAAGATATTTGTTTTGGAGGTTTGAAAGATTCAGATTCAGATTCATTTATTTGCCATTTGCAGATGTACTCTAATCTAAACAAAACATCCACATATGCAAAAGATGAGCAATAGACAAACCTTTGGACGAGCCATATTGTGATGATGTCATATTGTGATGATGTCATACTGTGATGATGTAATTTAGCGATGAAGTCCTATTGTGAAAAAGTGGTATTGTGAGCTATGTATCCCGTATGTGACGGCCCCTGATTTCCCTGATGTTGACAGTGGAGATACTTTAGCACATTTTCTTGTTTTATTTGTTCTTGAGAAAAGTCGCATTAATTCTGCAAAGCTAGGTTATACATTGTTCAAAAGGCACTCTACTTCACATCAATAATTTCTAAGTTTTTAGTGAAATCATGTGACCTGTCTTGCGCTGTAGACTTTAATGTTGCCTTAAACTTGCACTTTTTGTATTGCGTTTGTGTTATACTGTCCTGCATGTGCTCTGCAACTTTCAAATTCCCCCCCACTCTATAGGCTCTTTGGGACGTTGTGATGTCAAATGAACACAACCTATTGGTCAAAGTAATTGTCATGAGGTGAGATTAAGGAGGACTCAAAATGCAGGAATGCAAAAATAATGATTTACAGAAGATGATGAAATTTAAGTGGAAAAAGAATCTCAAAAAAATCATGGGAACCAGGAAAACAACAGTTGAGGAAGTACAGAGCAAAGACAATGGACAATGGACCAGCAACATCGGGAGAGGAGCACAGAGTATACATATAGACACAGAGAGACACAGATAAAACACATTAGGGCGGGGCAGACACACAGGGGAACAGGACAGGAAGTCAAAGAAAAGTGAACAACACAAAATCCACATCATGACATTAACAGAAAAATGTGACTAAAAACATGAATGGTAAAAGAGTCCTGGTTATTTCACACTGCTACTACAGCACTTTCTCAGCCACAGTTGGAGCCACACAGGCAGAAACATGGTGCTCCGTTCTTCTTTCCAGTGTGTGCACTTAAATCACAGCCGCCGCAGCAGCTTTCACAAATTGCTTAAGACTGCCTCATGCAGCATTGACCCGTGCTCGTCTCCGTGCTCCTCAGCAGTCGATGAGGAGGTCACCCTGAGCTGTCCGCTGTAAATCCCCCGTCGAGCTGACTGCAATAGCTAAAGACCCCAAAGACCACTGTCCATTCTGTCCTGTCTGACTCTGCTGCCGCTACTTTTTACACACTAAAGTCAGTTCTGTGCAATGGGAGATTTCGTTTAGTTGTTTTTTTTAGAGAAAGGACACAGGGTTGCAGCCACAAGTATTGATTATGTTGTACCTGATGGGGTCAGAGAAATGGAAATTGTTTTTGCCACTTTGGTACGGACAATTTACAGACATAAGTATAAAACAAATGTAAATATGCCGGATTATAGCTACCAAGCTAGTTTTCATCAGTACTCCCGAGGCAGGAAAATACATAAGAAATGAAATGGTTTTAATCTTTTGTGTGATTTTAATGTTTTAATTGTGATTCTGGTGTTTGTTTTATGTGATGATTTGTGATGTGGACTGTGAAGCGCTTTGTGTTGCCCTGTGTATGAAAGGCGCTCTACAAATAAACTTTGATTGATTGATTGATTGGATCGATTGATTGACAACATAGAATACAATAAAATACAAAATAACATAATCCAATACAGACGGCACAGGGAAAAGTTAAGAGTCTAGTGGTCACATGACTGGTTTCTTTTCAGCCATTGTTTGATTTGAGTTTTAAAGGTGACCAGTGTAAGACTCTCCCGTAAGTGCAGAGGGAGACGTTCATGGCCCTCACAGAGAGAGTGTTCTGTCCAAAAGCAGTTTTTTTTTTTAAGGGACCTCACAGTCTCCTCTGGGGGAGGCCCTAGTTCTCAGATCACTTTAAGTATATGTTTGAATAAGCCCGGTATCATACAGTTATTCTTTAATGGACTTTCATGTAATTTTCTCTTGTATGTTCAAGATTGATTCTCTGAACTATGTTGTGGGAAAATCGACAACTTTTTTGAATTAATACATGGCGTAAAAGACAGTTAAAACACTGACCACAATTTAAAACAAAATCTGAATTGAAAAAAGGATATATAAAGTGTCTTGTGTGTGTGTGTGGTGTGTGTCTGGTGTGTGTGTCCGGTGTGTGTCTTTGCTTCGTCCCCCGGGGCAGATCGTCCTTAGTGTTCCTTCAGCTTACTTCATTGTTGCATAATTCACAGCAGGAGCAGAGCAGCTGTTGGCGAACACGGCCGCAGAATGGGCTGTAGCCACAAGCACTCGGCCTCATGGGGAAAAAGCAAGGGCAGATTGGAGGATGACTGGGGACTTAGCGCTACCACTCCGCCCACAGGTCCAGGCCAGGCCCCGGAGGAACGCTGTCTGCTGCGTGACGTTTGGCCCCTGACAAAGAAAACAACAGTAGAGAGTCCTTTTTACTGCCACTCTGAAAGGGGGAGCACAGAAGGCTGCTTTAGATAAGATTATAGCTAAAGGACATCTTTCATCAAGGCGCTTTTATCCGCTAAAATATGATGGAGCACGGATTTCATTCAGATAATTGCCGGCCTGTTTAAATGTCAACTTTGGTATTCGCTGCCACCACTTTTGTGTTTTTTTGCATAATGTAATAAAAAGTGCTCTTGGGATGCAGTCATACTCAACGCTAAACACAATCATTCAAAAATCATTTTCAGTTTTGCCTTATAATGGTAAGTAATTATCCTGGACATTACTAACATTTACTCACATATATTTTAGTTATTACTTATATAGTTGTTTTTTATAAGAAAATATGACCAAGACCATGTAGGTCAAAGACAGTATTGATCACCAAATTAAACTAATAATAATAATAATATTTAAATAAGTAATTATTAAAATAACTGTTACGTACCAGAGAGTCCAGGGTGACATTTGTTATTATAAACCAGGTTTGAACTAATGTAAATAAACAATCTGTTAGTGCTATCCACTCAGCACCGTGGCTGAGTGGATAGCACTCTCGCTTCTCAGCAATAAGGTCCTGGGTGGTCAGAACAAGACATTTCTGAGTAGTTTGCATGTTCTCCCTGTGTCTGCGGTGGTTTCCTTCAGGTGCTCTGTTTTCCCCTAGCACTAAAACCATGCACAATAGGTATGAGTGAATGAATGGTGTTTGGTCGGAGGCTTTGATGCACCAGTGTGTTCGGCGACTCGCTTCCGTCATCACTATGGAGAGAATGAAAACTGAACTCCAAACACGTGTTAAGCGCTTTGGGTGAACTTGGTCTGTAAAATGTGCTATATAAAAAACATTACTTACTTGCATTTTGACTATTTGGGCTGAAAAGTGAGTGAGGGTGGTCCACTCTTTTTCAATATTCAATATTGAGAGCTGTTTTGGGGCTATTTCATTACACATTTTTGTGGTTTGAAAATTGGGTACCCCAGCTTTAACCATCAAATGTTGATGGTATTCTCCACACACAGCATTAACATTAGCCTTTTGCAGCTACCACCGGGGATATTCTTTCAAGGCTCTAATTGTCAGTCAACTCCGACTCCAGACTTACCTTCTTGTTCTTATGTCCAATGCCATATGAAGGTCCCTGTCATCCACAATCAATACAAAAGCAAGATATTTACTTAATTCCAAAAATTAGCTTAATGATCAAAAACTCGACCTCAAACCGTAACAGGATTTCTCACCTACGCACAAGTTCTTATTATAACCCTGCATACCTCACACAATGCGTCCTCTGTAGATCTATGCATTACTGGTACATCCATAGGAACAGTCTATACCTTACTCAGCACAGGTGTGGCCCACATCCAGCCATGACGTCAGCGCAAATGTATACAAAACTTGACAAGCTCTATGTATTTTATCTCAAAACATGTTTCTTCAATGTATTTGTATCTAAGGGAAGCCCAAAGAGGCACTGAGAGGGGTCTATTAAACAATAATTATAGTATCCTGAAACAACACAAATGGCTGAACCACAGGGGGGGTTATAGGGGCTATTGTATATGTTTTTAGTGGTAGGAGAAACCGGAGCACTTGGAGGAAACCCACACAGACACAGGGAGAACTTGCAAACCTCACTTGTAAAAGGTCTTGTGCTGACCGGGATTCAAATCAGACCTTCTTGCTGAGACTAATAGACAGTCGGTTGACCATTGTTGGGTTTTTAACAATAGTTGCAGAAAACGTAAGTGAAAATAGACATGTCATTTGTCAGTAAAGTGGAATCCGTATGAAATCCACACTCATCCCGATTCAAGCTAAATAAATGTGGACTTTGCTCATGCTGTTTTGAGTATACAGTATGACCTATGGCTCGTTGTGGGCGATATTCACGAAAGGGAGTTTCTTTATATTGCTTCATACATGCTTCAAAAAGCTTTGGTTCATCTCAAATAACCCCAAAAGTGCAGGAGGCTGAACTGTGTCTATGTTTGAAAGGTCAGACCTGTGTGGAAGGTTTTACAGTTATTTCTGTTAATGTTGACTTTACACATTTTATTACATTTTGCATATCTTCAGTAGAGTTTAGATAGATGAAGATGAAGACAGTAAAATAAGAACGCAACATATAGTGTACATACTGGGCATGTGTATTATTATTATTATTATTATTTTGTTTTTTATATTCACATAGATTATTAACATTATTTACCTCCCCTTCTATCCCATTTGTTCTCCCGTTTGTCTTTGTCTAACTCAATTCCATTTATCAGTGTGTAGCCCTAAATCACAACAGCAGTCGTGTCTGAGTTGTCGATTCGCCAACAACAGATTATAGAATCAAACACAACTCGAAAAACAGGAAATATAATGATAAAGAACACATAGGAGCTATTGGTCCATAGGGAGCGGGATTTATTTGGTTCTTCTCTACCAGACAATTGTAAGACAGTGATGTTTTTGCCTTGACCCGTTTTGACGACCAACTTCCGTCTTCCCCAAAGTCATGCCATAGGCCATAAATAATAAAACATTTGCATAAATCCTGGATTATCACTGTCCTACACTTCTGCATGGGCAAGAAAGAACAACATAATAGCCCAAAACTTAAACAATACAGCCCAAAACCTCTTCCTCACACATAATGTACCTATGCTAAAATCATAAAATGTAGGAAAATTGTATAATGTTTTGAAGGTATGAAACAATTGGTAGATCACCTTTTGAGTCAATGTACAGTATCTACTTTAAGCATGCTTGGAAACGAAATATACATCTTTGGGGCATTTCACTTGGTGTTTGGCACTTTTACCATCAAACTGCATCAGGCCTGTAATAACAAAAATAGGGGGATAATTATTGTGTTATTAGTGCTCCTACAAGACACAAATCCATTGCTTTCTTCAAGGAGTGAATGTTAAAGGGTTGATAATGAAGCACAAGGATGACATGGAAGCTGCCATCCTGTCAAATGCCCATTGCAGTGAACGTTTGCGCCTCCACAGCCTTGTAAGCTACTGTACTCAATGATCAGCTCTGGTTGTTGCTCAGTGCTAACAAGATTGATGTGCCGTCTTGGCTGTAGCCCCCGCTGTCTCGAATGCTTAATTTCCACCAGCCCCGTCTGTCCAAGTGAAACCCAAAGCTTGTAACTTTTCCCCCTTGGACAGAGGATAGTATCGTAAATGTGCGCGTGCTCGACCGGACCGCTGCACTCTACGATCCCTCATTAGTATTTCAGTCAGAGCTCTCCGCCTGCACAACCTGTCATGGCACTCTACTCCACGCGGCAGAGGTTTGTTTTGCGTGCCGCATTGTCCCTGGATGGCCACGGCGAGATTGCCAGCTCCTGTCGCCCCTCAAGGATGACCGAATGGAGGAGGACGAAGCAACAAAGCGAACGTCCAAAGAAAGATTGGTGCAAAATGACACGCCATTGGTGGTGGATGACATCACTGGGTGTTCTTCACTATAGGCTTGTCAGAAAAAATTTAAAGAAAATAGAAATACAGAAAAAAAGGACCTCTCAAATGTAGCCACTTCTCCATGAACACAGATCTGCGCTGTGTCGTTTACTGTTAAAGCCAAAAGAATATTTTCCTGGAGTAAGAGACAAGGTCAAGTACGATTCAGGCTTGTGGGGATGGAAGCTGGTTCATAGTAAGAGCACATGACTTTTCCTTCTATGCAATGAAAAACTCTTCTTGTTGACTACTTTTGGATGTTATGCAAGACTTTTTATTGTACCAGATCACACGTGTAATAAAATAAATACGTTTGAAAAATACGTTTTTTATTTTATCAGAGTATAGATCCATACATCTTAAAGAAAGTATTGTTTTTACATTCAGATCCCTATTAAATGATAACATGACTTTGACAAAATGTATCACAATTTTAGAGACACAGTGGCTGAGTGGATGTAACTCTTTCTTCTCACCAAGAAGGTCCTGGGTTTTCTGAGTGGAGTTTGCATGTTCTCCCTGTGTAGGTTTAGGTAGGCACTGGTTTCCTATAACACTATAAATATATACAATAGGCCTGGCATGTGTCTCCTGTAGGGCGACCGTGCACCCATCTCTGTGTGGAGTGAGACTAGTTCAATATTTGAGTTCTCATCAATATTGTGAAGGTTTTTGGTGTGTATGTGGTCATTACCTTCTCCATTTTCTTTTTCACCACTTTATTTTTCTTCCTGGACTGACCTTGACCCTAGAGCGACCCCCATTCCAAGCTGTAGTGTCTGATACAGCCTTCTGACAGAGAAGATGGTATAATATCGCACTCACATATGGACCATTACTAATCATAATGCAGATGATTTGGCCTAGTTTCTGCAAGATGGCTCAGTAATTATTACAAATGTGGGACACGGTTTACTCTAATCATTGGTACATGTATGACTGTACACAGATGAATAGTGAGTTTGCTGCAAGATGAATCAAATGAAAGAAGAAAAACAGAGAATCATCAAGACAGATATTGAAAAGAAAACTATAAGTCCAGCCTATGAATAGAAGCTCTAAAAACCTCTTCGAAGATTTGAATAAGTTTGTCCTTAAAAAATATCCAACAAAGAAAAATTACTGATGATACACAGTAAAATATTTTCTTGCATGTTTGGGACTTATCCATCCGTATACACCGCTTAATCATCATTTCCCTGCATGTAACGTCTGGGTCTGGTCCCCATGTTTGCGATTACAAACAGCGCGGGAGGCGGGTGTTGTAGTTAGTTGTGGGTGACGTCAGGAGTTTGCGTCGAACGGGCAGGTTGGAGTTTGGCAATGCCGAAGAATGCGATAGTAAAGTATTCCGTTCTGGAGCAAGAGGAATGTTTAGCAAATGTAATCGCTGGAAAAAAAATGTGGCGCTACTCCCCACGGGTTCCGTTAGCGGCAAAGGAGATGGATAGGCTAAATGCTAAATGTTAACGACTCACTCGGGCGCACTACAAACGTCACGGTAAACTCAGATCCAATCGTTTCAATCTGCAAAAGGAGTTAACCTCTCCCACCTGTAAACGAAGCTCAATGGAGCACCTCCAGACCTTAGTACGAAATGTCATTTGTACTATGGTGTGGTACGACCAGGCTAAGACTGAATGGGAATTTCCTTCTTTTTTTTTTTTTTCATTAGTTTGACGGTTCATTTCTCAAAAGTTTCTTGAGTGGTTTGGCCAAGGCAAGGCAGATTTATGTATATAGCGCAGTTCTTACACACCGCAACTCAAAGTAAGAAAACAAGAAACACAACACAACATCATACAAGGCATTAAACAATAACAAAACAATACTATTATTAAAGACATAAATAATAACTATAATTGTATTCTAAAGGTTAAAAACAAGATAACCTTATTGTAAACAAGATAAAAAGATTGTTTGTTGGCCCATCTCCAATAATTCTTTATTTGTCCATTATTTGCAAAATTTTCTCTCGAGTCAGCTGTTTTCCCTGTCTACCATTCAACATAATTAAATTGTAGAGTGGCATATTGTAGTGGCAAGGCAAGACAATTCATGCACAGGGCAACTCAAAGTGCTCAATATAAGAAATATTATTAATAACATGGCACTATTTACTTTGTCATTTCATGTTCTCGAATGTAAAAATATATCGTAAGTAGAAAATATACGATGAAACAAGTATCAAGGGAAAATATTGCCATCCGCCGGCTCTATCTCTATGCTACCCTATCCCTAGCTGAGAAATTGCCAAAACTATTATTACATCTTTGTGCCAGAAGTTCCTGATTAGTGTGGGTGGATCTAAAAATCATTCCGGTTCTGTTTTGGATGAGAAACATGGTCAAAACCTCATAAAAGTCAAATTTGTATTATATGTCTACTTTAATTAAATTCAATTCATTATTTCATAGCCCTTAATCACAACAGCAGTCATCTCAGACAAAGTTGATGATTCACCAACAACAGATCAGAAAATCAAACAATTTGAACAAAGGAAATGCAATAAAACATACATAGGAGGCGTTGGTTGGTAGTGAGCAGAATGACCAATGTCCGTAAATGTTATTAAAAGTCCATATATGGCCTTAAATAATAAGTAACATCATAAATTAATGATACATTACACATTTAGAAGAGATAATTATAAAGACTTATGTTTGTAAAGCTGGTTGAGTGCGACGCAAGCATAAAATGTCTTAAAGGAGCAGAATGTAAAAATTGGCCAAAAGTGGTACTGCACTCGCCCTGACTCAGGTTGCCAGATATGCAGACGAATCCAGCTGGGACCATAATATATGAAAAAAGAGTTTTGTCAACAGCACATCTATTACCAACTACTTTTTCACAAATATATGAATCCTGGTTTTGTTCCTTGTTTTGTCGTCAATGATTTGAGAATCATAACGAGACCTTTTTTAGTTCTGCAGCCACATTTTACCAGATCACGGACTTTTTGATTCGTCACACGGTGGAAGGCGGGACCGTAAACCTAATTTTGAAATCCAAATATCTCGGCTGAACTACTGTTATCAGTTAAAGAAGTACTGGAAAAGAGCATGTTTTGTTAATACCTTTTGATAGATTAGGAATTTAATGATGACTTGAAATGAAAATCTTACATATTTAATTTCTCCATAAATATAGTGGGTTTTTTAGTATATCGTGAAATAAGGTTGGATCAGAAATCAACTGGCTCTTTCACCTAGCATTTATATTTTCAACACTGTGGCAGGTTGTTTCTGGGATTGGAGGCTCCTCTCATGTATGTGTTAAATTGGGAAAGCATCTGTGGACTTGGACAGAGGAGTTAACAGCCCAGCTAGCATATTTGTTTATTTGCTGTTACAGTTTGATTTGGTGTATCGCTCCGGCCTCCTTAAAAAGCAACAGATGTGTCCGTGCATAATCCAAGGACAGCTCTGTTCAAACGTCCTTCTATCCGCAGAACAAACGCTGCACTCACAACAAGGGGAAGAGCGCAGACACAGGGGACGGACTAACACAACCCTTATCCAAGTGTGCTCCTCTTCTAATTAGCATAAAATAATGATTTACAATGTTTTATGTTCATTGCTTTAGTGGTGTACAGTTCAGATCATCTTTTAAAATTAGAATTATGACGTAGTATGAGTATGAGCCATTTGCAGTTGTCTATTTGTGTGTATGCTTTTTGTGCTGGTAACCTCCTTTAACACTAGAAGTCTTGTTTTAATAGCAGTAATAAAGATTAAAATTTCACATCCATACAAACCTACATCAATGAGACATAAAGACATAAAGACATACAGGCAGACATAGAGGTACAGTAGATATACAGGTACCAGTAGACATACAAGTAGAAATACAGATACAGGCAGACATACAAGTAGACATACAGGTAGACATGCAGGTACTGTAGCAAAAGGGTAGAAGGGAGGGGCGGGGGGTAGTTTTGTCAGGAGTGATTACAGATGACTCAACTTCTCTAAAACTGGAGAATATAACGGAAACAGTTTGGTGAAGGGCTAAATGCTAACTGATGACAGTAAACCATGTGTTGCTATGGTAACTAGGACTTGATCTGATCTGGTGGATAATCAAGCTGAACCCGGGGCTTGTGATGCAATAGAATGTTGGTAGCCAAGCGAGAGAGTTAGATAGAACTGCTCACATATCAAAATGAAAAGATAATTTCATAAAAGTAATGACAGATAATTTCATAAAAGTAATGACAGAAAAGGTCCTGTGTGTTTGTTAGTATTGCATTTCCTCTGTTCGAGATGTTTTATTCTTTCTTCTGTTGTTGAGGAATCCACAATGTTGCAAAGTCCCTTCAAGACCACACTGTTGTTGTCATTCAGGGATATACAAAAATCCATTGAATTGAAATGTAATTGAATTCAGAGACAAAAAGCCGTCAATTTGACGGTATTTGATTTGGTATGGTTCAACTTACTGTTACTATTGCCATGAAAATAAATGTTTCTTGTCCAATCAGTTCCATCATCATAGATCTATAGACACATCCATCAAACCTGTGACTTTACCAGTCGAAGCCTCTGTTTTGTTAGTTTAGTTTGGTCGAGTTTTGACTTGTCCACTGCTTCCAAACACACGTGCCATCAGATCGGTTTCCAAAGAGGACAAACAGACGAGAGTGGTGGAGTGCTTTGATCGCTGAACCTCTGCTCTTCAGCCTCCTTTTTTTTTTTTTTTTACACAAAGACTCTCAAAGGCACGCTGCCGGAGGGTTCTGGTTCTGCCCCTGACTCCTCTTTATCGGACCACTCAAAGCATTTGAGCAAAGCAAGTGCACCTTTTATTACCATAGGAAGAGGAGAACAGAGCTAATTGTGTGAGCAAAGTAAAGAGCTGAGTATGGAGGTGTTTATGCAGCCTTTCTCAGTCCTGAGTGTCCTTTGTCCACTCGGAAGGCCAGCCGATAAACCCTTAACTGCTCCGTCATCACTATTGGCCCTCATTTAATCAGCCACTCCCAATGTGACAATAAGATGAAAGTGCACTT